GTCTACTGTAGCTCTTTGACTTTTGCTTCTGGGAGCATTGTTACTTCCAGCACGAGTTTTCTGGGCTCTAGTAACAACCATTGATAGTGTTTGTACGTGCTGTTGAATCACAGCTGCAACCAGGAAAGTTAGAGCCGTCTGCAAAACCTAGTACAAGTGATAGTGTGGTTTCTTTATTTCTTTATTACCTTGCCTTCTGTGGTGTCTCCTTATCAGATAGCTCAGGCAACTCCCAGTATTTGACTTCAACGTTTCTTTAAACAACTCACAGTATTGCAGCGTAGTTCCTGCACAGCCTTGAATTTTCCTTGAAAGAGTTTCAGTCCTTTCCAAACATTATGTTGCTGATAAACTCCCCTGGGAGACTCAACGTTTCTTGCTCTCTTTGGCTCCAGCCACCACCGGTAAGCAAAGTTCTTTTAATAAAACAACTTGGGCAGTTGAATACTTCATAGGTATTAAAAATAAAGATTAAAAAGGGAGCAGAGCTTGATACCAACGCTGTTCCTCCCTCCTACTAGAGATACAAACACTTCCAAGGCCTACCATAAATCTTCTGTCACTGGGCTGTCCACACAAAAAGGAAACACGCTCCAGCAAAATCCCATAAACAGCTTAAAAAAGTCCTCTGCTCCCTGTGATCATATTGCAGCAAGTGACTAGATTAGCAGCCTATCTATATTGTTAGATAGAAGTACTGTATATCATATTCTTGTATTGTGGTTCACTTCACTTTTTCACTGTGACCAGAATTCTAACCTTGTGCACTGCTTGCTGGTAAGTGAATTTTACTCCCCCCCCCCAAAAAAAAAACATAAGCAGAGGGACCCTGTCTTGTCATAAAGTCTGATACTTGAGCATCTTCTCTAAGATTCCTTCAAACCTTTAGGTAAAATGAGAAGTCTGTGTTGAGTCATCCAATGTACACCGGTCATACTTTATGCTTACTGATAGCCCCAGTATGACACCTTGGACTTCGAAATCACTTTTCCCAGAAATGTTCTAATAATTGATAGAAAATGTTTCACAGGGAACAGGGACACCTGCTGCTGTGAGCCATGTGAGCTCACCGTTATCTGGAAGCCTTTGAGACAATTTACCACAAAACAATGGAGAACTGCTGGATAGCTACTGACATAGGCCATCTGGAAGCCTTTGAGACAATTTACCACCAAAACAATGGAGAACGGCTGGATAGATACTGACATAGGCCTTGGTTTAGGTAACTGGCTGTGCAGCCAGAGTTCAGAGTTTGATTCCCTACTGTGCCTCCTTGACAGGGGCTGGGCTCAATGATCCCTACCAGCTCTGTAGTTCTAGGTTGTTGTTGTTGCTGTTGTTGAACTCCAGGCACACTCAAAATCATAAAAACATGGACTGATATTATATTGGTTTAGGTAACTGGCTGTGCAGCCAGAGTTCAGAGTTTGATTCCCTACTGTGCCTCCTTGACAGGGGCTGGGCTCAATGATCCCTACCCGCTCTGTAGTTCTAGGTTGTTGTTGTTGCTGTTGTTGAACTCCAGGCACACTCAAAATCATAAAAACATGGACTGATATTATATAACAGTCACAAGTTTTAACCAAAAACCTAAATATTTGTTAATATCGGCACAGTATGTATGCTTTTTCTAATATTACCAGTTTTTGTAGCTCAGATGGTGTGATTTCTGAGATCTGCAACTGCTTATATTATTGTGTTAAATTTCTTGATATTGTTCCCAAAGCCCCAATGACCACTGAAGTGTGTTTCTTCCAGAGGCGAGATGTTTTGATTGCCAGGTCTCTGTACTTTGTTAGTTTTTCCAGTTCTTTATTTTCAACTTTGGCATCCCCTGCAATTGCAATGCCAATGATCCAGACATTTCTTCATTCTATTATTACTATGTCTGGTGTGTTATGCTCAAGGTGTCTATCAGTTTGGATCAGGAAATCCCACAAGATCTTGACTTCCTCCTTTTCTGACACTTTTTCTACCTAAAGTTCCCATGGGTTTTTGGAGGCTGACAAGTTATACAGTATTCCCATGGGTTTTTGGAGGTTGACAAGTTATACAGTATTTTGTTTGCACAATGACCAGTGCACTAACATTGCCATTCTATCATGTCTAACTTTGCAATCTGTTTGTGCAATCTTTGGGCATTCACAGAGGAGGTGTGACACAGTTTCATCTTTTTCTTGGCAGAGTCAGCATTTGCTGTTAGCACTTTAAAAAAATAGGATAAAAATTGAAGCTGATTATACGGACAAATTGTTGACTTGGACGTCTACACATTTAGTATAGTTAGCAGCTGTTAACCAAGTGGTTAAAATGCAGTGCTGCAGCCAAGACTCTTCTGATAACCTAAGTTCAATCCTAGGTTCAGGTAGCAAACTCAAGTTTGACTGAGTTTTCCATCCTTCCAAGTTCAATAAATTGAATACCTAGCTCACTAGGGAAGGAGGGCAATGTGTAGCCTGCATAATTAAACCGTAAACCACCCAGAGAGTGCTTTAAGTGCTATGGGATAGTATATAAGCAACACACTTTGCTTTGCTTTAACTGTGGATCTGATCGCATGTTAAGACAAATACGTACTTTCTCCTCTTACAACATTCTCTCTCCAAGTGTACCCTTTGCTTTGCTTTAACTGTGGATCTGATCACATGTTAAGACAAATACGTACTTTCTTCTCTTACATTATCTCTCCAAGTGTACAAATTTTAATAGAGTTGGAAGTACCATACTCAGTTAGGTTCTTTCTTAACAACAGAAAGTATATTTGTACTGTGATCAATGGTTCCATCAATGGCCAGAGTTAATAATTTACAAAGATGTAAATATTTTCATCTGTTGCAGTAGAATATCAGTCATTTAGTATCTTTAAGACTAGCAAATTTATTAAAACAAGAGCTTTCACAGAATGCAACCTACCTTCTCCAAAGCTGCGAGTACGATCTCAAAAGTTCATGTATATACTGTATACAATGTATCCTGGCCAAGGATCCAATGATATACTTTGGGATTCAGTAGTAAGCTTTGGCATATCCTGCAGCTCTCTATAGCGCTAAATCAAAATAAAACACTGCCCCAGATGATTTCCAGGTCTTCTAGATCAGGATTTCAAGGTCCATGGGGGAAGAAAGGGTCTCCAGTTTGGGCAGAAGCACAGGAACACCGCAGAAACACACACTGGGTTCTAGTCAGTGTTGGAGAGTGGGATGTTGACATGGAACATGTATAATTATATTGTTAACCATTAACTTCACTGATGGTAGATAGGAAAGACAGCATGTGATAACCACCCATTCACTGAAGCTTTGTCAAAGTGTAAAGCAGAGGAGAGCAATATATGGTTCTCCGGATATTATTGGATTATAGCTTTCATCGGCCAGCACAGTTAATTTAGCTGTGAGAGGAACTGTGGAAGTTCTGGTTTAACAATATCTATAGGTTTCTCACTCCTGTTGGAAAGCAATGCAGAATCCTGTATATGAAAGGCTAGCTGTGTGGCTCTGTTGTACTGAAACCACACAATGTCAATAATAATGAATAATGCTAATTAATTTTCAGACACATGTGCCTGAGGAAATGGACTGCAAGCAACCCATGAAGCTCTTGGTGAAATAAACTGGTTGGTCTTAAAGAAGCCAGGATACTTTTGTTTTTATATGCTTGTGCCAAAACAGACTAAAATGTCAATCACCTGTCAGTAGCCATACTGTATAGCTGTACTCTGTGCAGCTATATAGTATGTTTTAACTTCTAAATTTACTCTGATCTGCAACCTTTTGCATTCTTCAATCACCCAAACTTCTAGCTTATAAAAAGCAAAGCAAAAATGTGTGCTGCTTTTATACTGCCTCATAGCACTTAAAGCACTCTATGGGCGGTTTACAAGTTGATTATGTAGGTGACACATTGCCCCATCCCCCAGCAAGCTGGGTACTCATTTTACCAACCTCAGAAGGATAGAAGGCTGAGTCAACCTTGAGGCGGCTACCTCGGATTGAACCCCAGATCCTGAGCAGTTTTGGATGCAGTACTGCAGTCTAACCACTGTGCCACAAGGGTCCTCCATGTATCTGAGGAAAATGTATACACTGCAGTCTAACCACTGTGCCACAAGGCTCCTCCATGTATCTGAGAAAAATGTATACAGTATATGTGTGTGTGTATATATACATATATGCATATATATATGTATATACTCCATGTATCTGAGGAAAAGTCAGTCAAAGTGAGGATTGTAAAAAGCAGTCACAAAAGCACCACAAGACTGTTATTCGTGTGTATATATATGTGTGTGTGTGCATGTATATATACATATATGTATATGTATATATATGTATGTATATGTATATACTCCACATATATGAAGAAAAGTCAGTCAAAGTAAGGATGTCACAAAAGCACCACAAGACTGCTGTTGGAACATCATTTCCTGTTATTGCATTTGGTCCTCTTGAGACCAAGGCGGTCCTAGAGATGTAACAATTCTGAAAATTCCCATTTTTTCTGGAAAAAAACCCAGGAAAAACGTTTTTTCCCTTGGGGAAAAATGGTAATTTTTAGAAATTTTACGTCTCTAGGTGGTCCTATGAAGGGTGGAACCCTAATTTATCTTGAGTAGTTTTGTACAGTATATTCCTTCCAGGCATATCTCCTGCCCACTTCAACTGAAGATAAAGCATTAAGGAATAGGGCCCTGGCTGCCTAAGCACCTTCGTTGGCAGAGGCCTTTCTTGCCCGACACTCACCTGCGTCCCTTCAGTGAGCTACAGCACCATTTTCAGCCCATCCTGAAGCATTCACAGGGACAACGCAAGTAGCGAGCTCTCGAGGCAGCGTCCTCGTGATGACCATTGGGCCACACAGCTCCCCATGGTTTCAAGCGGATCTGATTCCCAGCCCTAGCTGGGCTTGGTAAGGAGGAAGATTGGGTTAGATCTTCACAGCAGGCACAAAGGCAACGAGTAGCCTTACCGCTGCCCACCAAGGGGATGAAGAGCCGCCCTCACCTTCAACTCCTTCAACTCCTACACGCTTGGCCGAGGACCCGGTCCTCGCTCTTGAGGACTAGCCTCTCGCATTCCGGGTGGCGCTTTGTCTTCTCCTCCTTGAGGGGCCAATTCAGTGCAAAGGCCCCACCCCGCCCTGAACTTCGCATTTTCTGCTTTCGAGGGTCCCCCGCCCCCCGACACACACACGTTGGGCTGCGGAAGCACGGCCGCCTTCCGCCGCTCGCCTAGCAGTTTTGCCGCGTCCTGGACGAAGGAGAGACGACCGACTGTCTCAGGCCCAAGAATACTTCGCTCCCAGGCCGGCTCGCCTGGCCAGGGGTCGTCAAGCCCTCCTTGGGGGCGTCTGGGCAACGAAGTCCGGACCGTTCGCTCAGGTGTAGGTTGGGCAGGGCAAGGCAGGGCAGGAGGGCCGCCGCTGACGAAAACGAGCGCAGCGACTGACGCTGGCGCTGCCCCCTTGGCTAAGATGTCCGAGAGCGAGGTTGCCTCAGAGTGGCCGCGGCGCCGGGGGGCGGGAAAGCGGGGCGCGGGAGGGGGAGGCTGGTCGAGGAAAGTTGCCCTGCCCGAAGGGAGGAGGAGGGCGTTCTCCGAGCGAAGACTGGGTGCTTGGACAAGCCTACGCTCGGTCTTCCTTCCTCATCCTTGGTGAAACTTGGCGGCGACCGGAGCGGCGGCGGCGGCGGCGGGGAAATCTGGAACGCCTCTCCTTAGATCGGGCGCTGAGTCCTGACACCGCACAGGGTAATCCTACCCCTCTGCACCCGGAAGTTATGTGCCGTCGAACGGCAACCCTGAGAGAGCTTTCCAAGTATATCTAGGATCTCTCAGCAGTGGTTTTGCCAAGGGGTTTGAACGCAAGGCTCCTGTGTGTTCTGGTCCCTCATTCTATCTACTACTACACCATACTGGATTTTATTCAGAAGTCCCACCATGGCCTAAATCTTATCACAAGTCCCACTGAATCAGTTCTTGAATGGTCAATCGACACTAATATATAAAGTCTTGTTGTTCCAGTGGAGCTACTGTATTCTGGATGGAACAAGGTTGATTCGATTTAGGCTTCGGGGACTTTCCACTTAAAATACACTTTTGCGGGGAATGAATAGAATGATGCAATGACAACACCCATTGCAGAATAGTAGTGGAAGGGGGTCCTCAGGCTCAGGAATGGATGGCTTCAGCCTGCCTTTACCTACCTTCCTTCTGAAAACTACCTTTCCCACTACCGTTCCTGAACAAGAGGTTTTAGAGTTATAAATTAACACAACAATGAAGTAGTACTTAGTGGAACTTCCTTTTCTTCGCGAGGAAGCAATTGCACAAGAAAAGCCTTATCCGGACGCAGCCAGTTTCTACTTTGAAGTAAAAATCCCACTGAACAGCTTTAGGAGAGAAGGGGGAAGTCGTTAATTGCACAAAAAACGTTCCCCTGTAGTTGACGTCATCCTTCTGCAGGCTTAGATTCTGCAGGACAGTGTTCATTCAGAAGAATTTAACAACTTCCATGTTGAGAATAAAGAAATCAGACTGTCTGTCACAGTCCCCAGTTAAACGAAAACATTTAACAATTTTCTCTACATTGGTTCAGTCCTCAGACAAAATGGAAATTATAGCCAGGAAATCAGAAGACTGAAATGGAGAGGAGCAACTACTGTAGGAAGGAACTAGAAAGGACACAAGCGAGGGATCATCTGTCTATGGCAGTGATTCCCAACCTTGGGTATTCCAGGTTTTCTTGGGACTTCTACTTCCAGAAACCCCAACCAGCACAGCTGGTGGTGAAGGTTTCTGGGAGTTGCAAGTCCAAGAACACCTGGGTTAACTAAATCAGGTGAAATCCAAAGAAACAAAACAAAACAAACAAAAAAGACAATATATGGCACTTTAAAGACTATTATAGTTTAATGTAAGCGTTCATGGACATTTCCACTTTGTCTGACATAAAGAAACAGGATGAAATGTTGAATGAAATGTAGATGAAATATCAGTCATTGGTTACATACAGTAATTAGGCCTATATTTGTTTTCGGGTCCTGTTGTAAAAATTCTTCAAGAAGACAGAAAAAAACACCAGATCTGAGCAGGGGTGAGAGGCAGGGGAAAGAGAGAGGAGAGAGAGAGAAGGGCTGGAGGGGGGAATTTGAAGAGGCAATTAAACCTCAAGAGGGAAAAGAAAGAATGAAATAAGTTAGCAGAGGAATCATGCATGTTTAATGTAGGGAATATAGACAGTTTTTACCTTGCTTAGAGCCTTCTGATGAGAGATGGGCTTGGTAGTTGTGAAGAAAATAACAGTGGCAGTGAATAACAGCAAGAGTGTTACATTTGGTATAAATTTTATCTCCACTGTTTCCCACTGTATTCTTGATTCTGTTCTAAAATAGTGACTTTCAAGTCTTCCACAAAGTGACCTGGTAGACTGAAAAAGTTGGAGACAGGTTTATGTGTATTGTGGTTTCTGATGTCAGATTTCTGGCCGTTGATCCATTTCCGTAGAGATTGTCCTGTTTATTTAGAGTAGTGTGCAGAGGGGAAAGGGTTGGCAAAAGACAGCATAGATCACAATAGCTGAGGAACAAGTGAAAGTCCCCGATTGTGTGTGGCATTGTTAGGTCCTGTGATTGTGTTACCAGAATATAGGTGTGGGGGTGGAGTTGGCATGTGGGTCTGTGGCAGGGTTTAGGCCCCCTATCTGTGTTCCTGTTTTGTGGTCCATTGTGTGTTAGTATTTGTTTAAAGCTGGGGGTTGTCTTTCTGGTGGTCCCTAGGCAAGTATGAGTCTCCCACCAAGGGCTTTGGAGAGTGAACTATTCTTGTCAAGGATGGGTTGGAGATCACTTAGTATGTGTGTGAGTGGTCTCAGCTGTGAACTGTAAGTGAAAAATAGTGGTGTTCTGTCCTCACACCTTTCTCTTGTGTCTCCAAGGAAGAGACTTCATGCTTTTGTTCCCCAGAGGTGAAAGGTATTATAGTCTGAGGAATGCATCTTGTAGATTGTTGAGTTTGGAGTCTCTATCTTGTGAGTCAGAGTAGGTGCAATTGCATCTTAGGGCTTGGCTGTACACAATGGATTTTGTTGTGTGTTCAGGATGGAAGCTGGAAGAGGTGTACAGTATTGATTGGTGGGTTTCCTGCTATAGTATGGTGCTTAGATGTCCATGTTATCGTCTCACAAGGGTGTTAGAAAAGGCATCTGTTGCATAGATTGTTCTAGGGCGAGGTTGATATTCAGGTGAAACCTCTGATTTAGGTATGGTGGGTATGGTGTTTTAGATTATAGTATATGGATATAAAGGCAGACCAGTGAAAAATGCTGACAGGAAAAATAAATAATTTAACATGTGCTCTCGGAGGAAACTTTCATGGATCTCACGGACCACCAGAAAGACAAATAAACTGATACTAAATCAAAACAAGCATGGCTTCTTCCTAGAAGGTGAAAATATTAAAATGAGCCCATTCTATTTTGGACAAATGATAAGACAACATTCAATGGAAAATATAATAATGCTATAAAAAGTTGAAAACATTAGGCTAGAGGAAGATCTAACATGAGTTGGATTAATTTATAAGGGAAGTCATAGCTTTTAGTTTGAAGTGGCTGAAGGGAACTGCTAACCTTTTAGAGGTTATTATTTATACCGTTTCCATAAGCTGGAGATGATCTGGTGAAACATAACAAGAGGTAACACATAGTTACTTTCAAAGCCTACTTTTAAAGGGCATTTTAGAGGCTCTTTTAATAAGAACTTTTCAGATTTTATAATATCTGTGTACAGTATTAAACCTGACTCCTGTCTTGTAGAAGGAATCAGTATTATATGTAAACCACAAGGTGTTTCTTTAAACTGAGTGTGAATATATGACTAGCCAGGCATTTAATGATGTTCAGCTAATGAAATTTTATATTTGCAGTGATTTTGATTCATATATCTTACAATATTCACTTACAATGAGAAAATTAGTTTCTTCAGTGTTTTTCTGGCTTTAAAGGAGCCGTGTAGCAATAGCTTAACCAATAGTTAGAAAAACAGAGGGTGACAGTTGTAAAGTTGAAGCCAGCACTTTGTAGGACCTGACTATATGTGTGTACTTTGGCACGTATGCACATACTTTTTGAAGTATACTGAATTATATTCATTCTGAAGCGAAAAGTAAATAACAGGATTGGTTCACATCCTCTTGAAATCTCAACCCTACCTGCACATTTTTAAAAATTTTTCTTCTACTACAGTCCTGTTGAACAAATGTGAGGGGAAGGGAAATGGTATAACTTACAGTGGCAAATTGCTACTGAATGCTGTGATCAATAGGGAAGCACACAGTCTAAACAGGAGAAAATAAAGACAAGGTGAAAACATTATACTGAAGGCCTATACAGAAGAGATTAAAGGATGACACTCCTTTGAAGAAGAATCTTATGATGGAGAACCCACAGTTCTAGAAAGTGAAGTGAATGCTACTCTGAAAGCACTGAGAAGAAATTGATCACCAAAGGATAGATGGAATATTAATAGAACTCTTTCAAGCCACAGAGATTGAATCTGTCAATACTGATTAACTTCTACTATAGCCATTTTAAAATAACTGAGAATCGTCTACAGTGGTGCCTCAACTTACGAATGTCCCGACATACCACCGAGATACAGGAATAAAAATAGCGAATACAATGTTCTTTTGTTCTGGCCCCACGTGGCTGGAGAGGTCTCCAGGCTCAGTGGGCCGGCATGGAACCTTTACATCTTTCCAGGTGAAGAGCGTGTGCAGGAATGCTGACCAACAATGGTGGTTGAATCACCTCATGGCCAGGAGGGCCGGAAACAGGGGTGGAGCCTCCCTACCCGGGAACAACAAACTCTCTAATTGGTCAGCATGTAAACAAACAAGCAAACAAGTTAGTTTGTGTTGCAGGCCCTTCCCCTTTGAAATTTACATCTAGATTGCTTGACCATCCAACAGTTTGTTGGTTGGTTTTTTCCCATTTCCAATGGGGGTTTTCTCCCATTTCTGATGGGACTTGGGGGTGTGTTTGCTTTTGGGGGTTTTTCCCCCCATTTCTGATTGGTCTTGTGGGATTTGTTTCCTTTTTGGTTGTTCCCCCTCTATTTCCAATCGGGCTTGTGGGCTTTGTTTGCTTTTTGAGTTTTTCCCCCCTGTTTCCGAAGGGTCTTGCACAGTTTGCTTGCTTTCTGCTTTGCTTTTTGCATTTCCGAAGGGTCTTGCAGGATTTGCTTGCTTTCTGCTTTGCTTTTTGCATTTCTAAAGGGTCTTGCACAGTTAGTTTGCTTTTCTTTCTTTTCCCCCCTTCGGCTGGAATGGATTAATCATGTTTCGATGGGTCTTGCAGTGTTTTGTGGTGTGTGTTTTTTGGTCATTTGTTCTTCGGCTGGAACGGATTAATTGCATTTCAGTGCATTCCTATGGGAAATGGTGCTTCGACTTATGACCATTTTGAGTTATGACCCGAATTCCGTAACCAATTAAGTTCGTAAGTCGAGGCACCACTGTAATTTTATCTTCCTTCTTCCTGTTAAAAACCCCACATTTTATTCTTAATGCAACATCTTAGTGTTATCAACATGATATTCTGTTTCCACATGATGGGCAGAAGATTGCATTACTAACAGGAATGAGAGATGAAGAATGAATTTTCTGCCTTTTGAAAACCAAAGGGAATACACACTTTGAATTGCTAGAGAACATGCAACCTCTTTTACTTTTCTCTCACTTAATA